GATTTCTTATTTTGTAGGCTCCCATATCCTGATTTACCCTTTGTATATCTCTATGAACTATTCTTTGGCATTTATGCAAATCTTGCATGCTAGTCACTTTATTTTATTTTTTTACTTCAAAGTTCATTTTATTTTATTGAGATATAGTTGACATGCCCTATTATGTAAGTTTAGTGTACATTGTGTTGATTTGATATATTTCCATATTGCAATATGATTACAACACTGTCGCAGTAGCTAACACATCTATCATATCACATACTTATCATTTCTTTTTGTTAGCCAGTTTATTTTGGCATTTATTTACTAGCTAAATACTAAGTTCTAACCACTCAAAGAGTACAATATTCAAGAAAATTCTGGGTAACATTTGAAATTTAGCTTGCTTGCCATGAATATTCATTTTAATCTGTTACCAGACCACTTCAAGATTTTGCCAGTTAAAGTACACTGTCGTTCAAAAGGTCATATTTCTTAATTATGTAACTGAGGTGTCCAGTCCCCCAAAGTACAGGTATGGCTGCCCAACCCTGTAGTTATCTGCTGGGCATCCAGCAGGTTCCTGCAGAAGGGGTCTTTCAGATAATGGAAGGAGGGATGGAACATCGGGATAGGTGAAGTCTCCTACCCTCACTTAACAGCCAGAGGGAAGGGACAATGGCCCAGGTGAAGATTCCACTCCTGCAGAGACTGGACACTCAGCGAACAATGTCCTCATGAAGTGTAGTTCTCCGACACTCTAAACGCCCCTGCCAATGGTCTTCCTCTCAGTCCACCGGCCCAATGGGGTATCTGAGAATTCTTTGGGGTCAGAAATAAGGTAAAGAGAACTTTGGATCCTGTGTCCATCTTCAGAGCATCATTAAGTCTTTCCTGGGTTTCTAACTTTTCTCTGTAAACTTTATCCTTTTATTATTTCCATAATAATCCTCAATAATCCACAAGGAAATTCCTAGTAACCCATTAGACTTAGAAACCAAGCGGCGATAAAAAATTGGTTTATCCTTTCCCTGAGAGTGGGTAGGATTCAAGCTTTAGAAAGATGATGCTTGATCTGGTAAGATATTTTTACTGAGGATGGATAATGCCCACATTTGAGGATTCATCCATTGGCTTCTTATGTTAACACCCACAATGACAACAGCAACAGCTCGAAGGAAAAGACAAGCTGAATTTCATGTTTAAAAAATTGGGTGAATAGTCTATATTCTGCAGCATTCAAATGGAGGACACAAAGGACAATGGAAAAGTATTTGAATGGTCATTTCAATATAAAATAAATTACTTTTATTATTAACATAAATTATTTTAATAAGTAAAATATAAAAACTGAACATAAACTCCACTGGCATTTATTGTACATCTGTTAGTGTCAGTTTTATTTAAATACCTTATTTAATTGTATTTACTTCTCACAAAATTCCTGTGAGGTAGTAATTTTTAGGACCATTTTAAAAAAAATTGAAGTACAGCCAGTTACAATGTGTCAGTCTCTGGTGTACAGCACAATGTCCCAGTCATGCATGTATGTACATATATTCGTTTTCATATTTTTTTCCATTAAAGGCAGGACCATTTTAAAGATGAACACACCAAAGGCTCAGGGATGATAAATACTTTGGCCTAAGGTCAGAAACTTATTATCAAGTTCTTTTAAAAATACTGTGCTGAAGTTGTATTTGAGCTCAGCCTTTCTAGCTTGTGTTCAGTGCCCTTTCCCCATGACACCACACTACACGTGTCGCCCTGCTGTTCAGCTGCACAGCATTAGGCTTTTGCTTCACTCCCTCGGTTTCTCTGTGTATGCATATATACATACCTGTTCTACAGTGTAACCTGGAAGCATATTGTTATCAGACGGTTGCAGCTGATGAGCCACAAACTCCGTGTCAGTTATGTTGGTCTTACTCCAGCTCCATGTTCCTTTTCGTTCTACAAAAAGTAAAGAGTTCTCTTCCACATTTATTTCCCTAAATGAAAGCTTCTTAACTTAGACACTATTGACATTTTGGAGTAGAGAATTCTTTGCTGCGGGGGGATGTTCTGTGTGTCTCTGATCTCAGTCTACCAGATGCCAGTAGGAGCACCCAGCTTGATAGTCACTTGACAATCAAAAATGTCTCTGTAATCATTGTCCAATATCCTCTGGGAAGCAAAGCTGTTCCCAATTGAGAATGACTGCTCTAAACTCAAAATGAAAGTCACTAAATAAAAGTATAGTCCCTCTGCTCCGTTTCTTTCCTCCATATTAGAGACTTTAGAGCAATTGGTTTATTTAGGCTTTGTATTGGTCAGAATAAGTTAAGTTATGCTGTGGTGACAAACAATGCCAAAACTCGCTTTACACAACAAGCCGTTAGCTCTCCAGGCAGCTGTCCTCCCTGAGGTAGCCTGACATTCCAGGCAGCTTCAGCTTCCAGCAGCCCAGCATCCTCACGTGCCTTCATGATCATTGCAGCCAGGAAAGAAAGAATGGACAATCATGCATAGGGTTTGAAGTATGTACCTCTGGAAGTGACATGTGTCACTTCAGCTCACATTTTATTGACACAGCCATATCTAACTTGGAGGTAGAGAGGGAGTTTAGTCCTCCATGCTTGAGAACCCTGGGGAGCATCAGTGATGTCTGCCACAGTCATCTCATAACTGTTGTCTGAATGCCCTCTAATGGACCTAGTAAGGTTCTAGGTGATATGATTCAACTGTAAAGTTTGAAACAGAGTATTTGCCCATTAGTTCTGGAGAGAATGTACACATGTGAAATAATCAGTGAACAAGACAATATAACCATATGCAACAGATTATAATAACATGCATTTAATTTATATATTAATTTAGAAAATATTTACATTTTAAAGATATTTACATTTTTTTTTATCTTAAATCTTCCAACTAAAGAGCATGGTTATGCCTTTTAGGTTCTGGGACCCAGTTCCAATGTGTGTGTGGGAAGGCGTTTCCTCAGATATCCAAGTGATTCTCTGTGGACCAGTTTGGTGTCCTGTAGTTCAACTCAGTTCTGACCCCATCTACCTGCAGATGTATCAGATTCCACACATTAAGGGTTCAGTCCCACAAGACCCACCTCCCTAACCTGCCTTCAAACACCAGTCATGAGCCCAGGTTGTTCCCTGTTACTGACTGGCTACAGATTGGGTGTTTCCCAGACTCCCTCCTTAGATTTGAGTTTGAGTATTTTGCTACAGCAGCTCACAGAACTCAAGGAAACATTTACTTATGTTGACTGAAAAAAAAAGCACAATGTGAGAACTATGGGTTAAGTTTTATTAGATGCTTACTGAGGACTACAGCCCAGGAGACAGCCCGTCAGGACCTGCTGAGGTGGTGGGGGAGGCTATTAATATATATATGATGTTGGTGAAGCAGGTATGTGCACCCAAGTGCATTTCTTGGTAGAAGGGTGCTGCTAGTTGCAAGGAGCAGATCTCTCCATTAATGATTTTAGTGCTTTTCTAGGAAAGAGCAGATGTAAGAAACTGAGTTCATAAAATTTTCTCCTGAAAATATCTAACTATCTAAAATAGCCTGTTCTCACAGTTTTTCCCAAAGCACAGAATGCCTGGTCCTGATCTCCACCCTGAACTCCTTTCAGTGTATGTAGAGAAGGCCAGTAACTGCAGTGCTAGTGACTTCATTCTTGTAGAACCAGATGGTGAATTACAACTTTCTTTAATTTGCACTGAGTGGATCACCAGTTCAATATAAAAGGATATAACTCAGGAACAGTCAGATATAAGAGATGCCAGGGGAAGGCATGGGGGAAAGGGCAGAGCTTCCATGCCCTCTCCAGGCACCACCAAGTGTTCACCAGCCTGGAGGCTTTCCAAACCCTGTCCTTTTGGGTTTTTATGGAGGCTTCATTACATAGGCACGATTGATGAAATCATTGTCTGAAGGTGACTGATTCAACCTCCAGCCCCTCTCCCCTTCCAGGAGGTCAGGGGGTGGGAATGAAAATTCCAAGCCTCTAATCACAAGGTTGGTACCCCTGGCAACCAGCCCCCATCCTTAGGTGCATTCCAATAGTCACCTCATGAACAAAAGACTCCTCTGTGGCTCTCATCACTTATGAAATTTCAATGGTTTTAGGAGCTCTGTGCCAGAAATGGGGATGAAGAACAGATATATGTTTCTTACTGTAAATCACATATCACAGTATTTATTTGTTGTTATTTTCTTAACATCCTCCAGTGAAATTTTATAGTTCTTTCTGGTTTAAGAAATTCTGAGATGTTTTGTAATTTTGAATGAGATTTTCCTTCCTCCCCACACTCTGTTTCTCCCTGGCTCTTGGCAGTGTAGAGAAAAGCTGATTGGTTTTTATGTATTTTCCCTTATCCAGATATCTTAATACTTTTCATGGCTTTTACAGTTGAGTCTCTTTTGTACAGATAGTTGTATTTCTCCTTCTTACCTTGTAGCATTAGATGAAACATACAGAATAATGTTAGGTACTAATGGAAATAACCTTTACTTTGATTTTATTTGAAGGAAGATTGTTGTTTGTTAGTTTCTGGTAATCTCATACTATTTGCAATTTTTATACAGAGCTTTAAACAGGGATGATTGCTGGGTTCTAGCACATGTTTCCCAGAATTTATGACATAATCACAGGCGTTTTGCCTTTAATTTACTGGTATTTGAACCATGTTGATGGGTTTCCTAATGCTGAACCACATATACATTCATGGAGTAAGTGTAACTTGGTGGACTTCCTTGAATATATTGCTGGATTTGGTTTGCTAATGTCTATCTCCTGGCATTCTAGTTAATTGAAATATTTGTTTTCCCCAAAACACTGCCACCAGTATTTTTGCCTTTCAGTAGTAATGTTGGTTCTCATATTCTTAATACGGCTTTTCCTGCACCAGATTTAAAGGTTAACTTTGCCTTTAAATACTCCGTGTTTCATGCAGTGCCTCAGGCTTTAACTCATGACACCAGCAATAGAGATAGTTGACTCCATGTGTTCTTATTAGAATTCTACCAAATATCTGGCTGGGGAGCTGCCCTCGTCAAGTGGAACACGTAACCATCAAACTGAAGCATGAACTGGGGGTTACAGCCGTCATGAATTTCCAGACGGAATGGGATATTGTACAGAATTCCTCAGGCTGTAACCGCTACCCAGAACCCATGACTCCGGACACTATGATTAAGCTGTACAAGGAAGAAGGCTTGGTCTACATCTGGATGCCGACACCAGATATGAGCACTGAAGGTAAGTATCAGGAGGACCTCTCTGGCTCCTGGTCGAATGTGTTTCAGAGAAGCCCTTGCTCTTTCTGCCAGTCTGCCAGTCTGCCTGTCTACCTACCTACCTTTCTACCTATCACTGAATGACCAAAAAATGAATGATAGATATGGAATAAATACGAGTTTTGTGGTTTAATATATTTTACATATATTTATCTTTTGACTCGTTGGCTAAGATTCTGTTTAACATGGGTTCTTTGTTTGTTTATTCATTAAACGTATTTACTGTGTATCCACTATGTGTGTGTGTGGCAGTAGGCTGGTGGCTGGGACTACAACAGTGAAGGAAAGCGGGCACACCTCCTGTCCTCATGGAGCTTACAGTCCTGTGGGGAAGACAAGCATGCATTAAATGACTACAGATAGAAATTTAAAACTGTGACGAGTTTCTTTGTTAGAAAGATACATAGATATTGCTACGAGAATGTGCTCAGGCAAGTCAGACCCCGGAAGAAGGGCCAGGGAAGGTTTTCTTGGGTGCGTCTGAGCTGAGATCTGAAGTGCAGGCTGGGCGAGGCTGAGGAGGGAGAGACTCCCAGGCAGAGGGAGCAGCTTGGGAAGAATCCTCGTTGCAGGAGAGCAGAGTGCTGCAGGGACTGAAAAAAAGGCCAGTGTGGCTGCAGGTCTGGGAAGGAGGGAAGAGAGTCTTGCAGGATTTTGTACACAGTAAAAACTTCAGACTCTAGATGCTAAAGTGGGGAGAAGCAGTTGAAAGGGTAGGAGCCTGACAGATGCCAAGATAACCATTTTTTCTTCCTCAGAAACCGCCCTTTGATTGCAGTGTAGACAATATAGGGGTGAGCCCCAGTGGATCTGGGGACGCTGGGGAGGAGTCAAGGTGAGAGATAAGGAGGGAGAATGCAGCTCGGGGTAGAGTGGCTACAGGGTGGCTGCACAAAACCTGTCATTGTGGAGAGAGGATCAGGGTGTGACATGGGTGCTGCCGGGGAATCAGGGACAAGTAAGGCATGATTTTGATCTAATGGTAAGAGGCACTAAGATAGGTTCAAAACTAATTAGAGTACAAAGAAGAGTGTGAGGAGAGGAACGAGTCGTGCGCGGGGAGGGTGGGTTATGGTGTGGGAGGAGCAGTTTCTGTGGGGGAGCACAGTGTGGCTACGGGAATGTCCCGGTATTTGAGGTGGGCGTGACAGGTCAAGGTGGAGGGAGGAGGGGCATGCCCGGTGGAAGAAAACGTAGACCAAGGCACAGAGGCCTGGTGCTTCAGAGGAATGGCCTGTATTTCAGGCTGGTTGTAGAATTGGGTTCTTGTAGAAAAGGGCCGGAGATAATTCGATTAAGCCGAGAACAAGTTACACTACTAATATCAACCAGGTGTCAGCAGGGGGCAGCAGAGAGCTGTGGACCGGCACGGGCTGCGGGAGTTTGTGAACTGCTCTTCTGGGGAGGAGAAAGAAGGCCGTGATTCTTAGCGAGGAGGAAATGCCTGTATCATCAGCCCTCTTCCCCCCACAGTACATTATGTATCAAACACTCTTCTCAGCAATTCAATGCATTAACTCGCTTAGTTCTCACGACAAGAGCCCAGGCAGATGAGGTAGTTCTCTCCAATTCGCAGAGGAGGAGAAGGAGGCACAGAAAAGTTAAGTCACCTGGCCGAGGTCCGAGAGCGGAGATGCAGGCTGGGTTTCCGCGCAGGCAGTCCGGCTCAGAACCTGGCTCCAGGCACCAGGGGAGGAAGCTGTTCTCTACATGCTCTCTGCACGGACTCTTCAAGGAGCTTCTGCAGACCACCAACCACACTTTCAGTCCTTCCTGTTCATCATTAGCTGGAGTTAGACAAAGTCCTGAGCTGCTCAGGAGGTAGCTTGTCCCCCCAGACAGAGTCAACAGTCCAAGATGTGAGTGGGGCAGGAGACTGAGAGTCACGGGCTGAGAGTCACAGGCTGCCTCGGTCACTGGACCTTGGGACCTGGGCTCTCTGTGACTCTCAGGTGGTTCTCCTGGCAGGGCTGGACCCCTTCGTGGGTCTGTGTCTGAACTGAACTCTCACCGGGAATGAGGTATAGGTTTTGGCCTGAACAGGAGGTAGTTTGGTTACTCCCCTTGGTGATTAATGCCCATCCAAAGGAGCTTGATTTAGCAGCAAGAGCTCTTTTTCCAAGGAAGAAAAAACTAAAAACCTTATTTGCACAGACGAACACTGATTGAATCGAGGTCATATTTGTCCTGTCCAGTTTCTCTCGCTTAATAACAGATAAGATTGTTAGGACAGTGTGCCTGTAGCTTTCAGGGAGTGTTTTGATGTTTACTTCTTCGACTCTGATTTTATAGCATCGTTATCCCACTGGAGAATTAACGTGAGATGAGGCTCAGAGAAGCTGAGATAACTATGGCATGTTCCACCCCGTGCACTGATTGCCCCCAAACCCTGCTGACTAATAGGTAATTTGCTTGATGGTTTGGGAATATGCAGAAGCCTGAGGGAAGATTCTATCCCCAAAGACCCACTGTAATTGTATCAAACCCTTTTGAGGGGATCACAGAGCCACCAGGTCCCATTCACACAATGGAGCACCTCGCACACGGAAGCAGTCTGGAAACATGGAATGGCAGCAAAATGAAAGCTCCTACTTGAAAAAGGCCAAACCCCAAGACTAAATAAAGGGTGTCTTTGTTTCAGCATAACCTGCGGAAGTAGTCAAAGGGTTAACAACCATTCCTGAGTCGCCCAGGAATTTCTGACCAGCAGATCAATCTATGTGGCTCACAATATTAGCACAATGAACACACCGATTAATCCAGCTGAATGTTTTTGGAACTCTAGGGAAAAATCCATCTGGAAGTGTTTTGAGCTGCAGCATAACGCTGTCAGATAAAGTCAGAGAAGGAAGACACTTTGTTAGGGCTGGCTGTCACCACTGGTTGTCACAGACCTGTTGCAATCAATTGGGCCATTGATTCTTACTCTTGTACTTTGTGTCATATGCAGAGGGGTTGGGGTTAGTTAGGTTTCTTTTCCTTTTTCTTCTTCTTTTTTTTTTTTTAATTTTGGTTTGTGTCTTTTACCTGAGAAACAAAAAGCTCCCAAACCTAGCACTCACCTGAAAACATTAAATCCGCTCACTGAAAGTCAGTTTTCAGACTGGGTTTTGACCTGTGTCAGCGCAGTGCGGTTGGTAACAGATGGTCTACCCTTGCCTCCCAAATGGGTTAATGTGCTGCCCGGAGTCCTTGGCCACCCCTCTGTTGTCACAGGCTGAGTCCTTTCTCTGACTCAGTGCACTGAATTCAGCATTGCCACGGGGCAGAGACACGGCCTTGGAGCCACAACACCTGGGCTGGAGCCGCCTCGTCCTTGAGCAGCTGTGTGATATGGGCAGGCTGGTCCCTGTACTTGGAAAATAGGGAATAGTAATCTGTGCCTTACAGGATTATAACACCAGAAAAAGATAACTGATAGGAAAGTGCTTGCAAAATCCCCAAGATGTGTCCATATGTTTAGTCACAAGTCTTTCAGTTTCTACCAAAGGATGTTACAGATAACATGGACCTTATCTACATCAAGGAAAAGAAGACAAGCTCATATGCAATAGTAATATATTCAGCCATAAATCTGCTTCTGGATTTAGAAAGGAAAGGGGTGTGTGTGTGTGTGTGTGTGTGTGTGTGTGTGTGTGTTTGTGTGTGTTGGAAAGGCTGAAAGTTGTGCCGGGAATGATTTCTTTCAGGGTCAGCCTTAGGTCAGCCTCAGACATCCTTAGGGCTCCCCACTCCCACTTATTCAGGACCCAGTGCCTCAGGCTGCCCCACCCTGCCCCTGTCCCCTTCTCACCACCTTTGCTTGCTTGCTCATTACATGTCGTCAGGTAGCTTTTCATCCTTCCAGAGCTGGATTCACCTGGAGGAAATGTGGACCAAACGTTGGATTAGAGTCGTCTCATGGTGTCTCATATCAAATCGGTGTTAGTGGTTTTGTTTTACTTTGTTTTAATTCATGTACTTAACGAATGTTTATTGAGCATCTATAGAAAGTCAAGGCCTGTTTTAAATTCCAAAGTAAGAATCACAGATGGTGGAGTGTTTTGTCGGACCTGCACAGGGTTTAAAATTTTCAACTTAGTTGCCAACATTTAAAATTTGGAATATTTAAAAAAAAATCAGCAGTTCTTTCTTGCCTTGAGGTATTCTTGTTCTTAAAAAGGGAAGCTTTCTAGAATCAAATTAAACTCTATATGGAGCCTAAATGTATGAAACATAAAAATTAGGGGCTCTGGTTGACACTGGCTTGATTGGGTGAGCCCTGCACCTGGGGACCCCGCTGTGATGCCTTGGCGGCTTGAACGTTAGCTCAGGCTCCCTAGAATGGGTCGGCAAGTGGAAGGGTGTGAGCCTGTTGGGCACAGATGGTCCCTCTGGGGTGGGGACAGAGGTGCTGAGCCCCAGGGAGGGTGTCACACAGGGGTGGGAGCTGCAGCAGGACCAGCCAAGTGAGAACTCAGATTGACAGCATGATGACCTGCAGGTACCGCTGACCTGGTAGGTTAGAGAAGGACAGTGGCACAGAAGTTGAGACCAGAGGCTTTAGAACCTGGATGGCTGGGTTTGAGTGGCCACTGGGGAATAACCCTGGGTAAATCTCCATGCCTCCATTTCCTCAGATATAATGAGGATAAGAATAGTACCAACCTCATAGTTGTTGAAACCTCATAGTGCCTGTGAAGGAGCTTTTGCAAGCCCAGTGCTTAGAGCAGCGCCTGGCAGGTAGAAAGGGCTCAGTAATGTTAGCTGTCATCAGTCACAGCAGGGTGATCTGCAGTCCCTGGAGGTCAAAATAAAGGAGGGCTCTGGCTGAGGCCAGGCTGAGACTCCTAGCATCCTAGATCAGCTGCTTCTCTGGTGCCCCTTTTTATTTATTGATTCATTTTTACATTATGTAAATAGTTGTCTGACAGTTCTTAAGTGGAATGGCTGAGTGGTTCTAGTAGAAGACCGCCGGTGGGGGAAACTCATGTTTAAACTGGGAGCCTTCGGCGTTTCCACGTGGAAGTTGACATTTACCTTCCAGGATTATGTGTCTGAGTCTATTGAACCTTAAACTAACACGCCCCTTTTCAGCTTCTAAGCCATATACATGCCTCTTGAAGAATCTTTTGCAGATAAAAAGGAAAGGGGGACATACTAGGTCATTTGGGCCCCTAGGTGCAGACCCTTCTTTGGGGGAACCTCTGGCCAGAGAGGATGTCAGGGGAAGGGACCCTGATGGCTCCCTGCAGACCTGGCTTGGGTGGGCTGGCCATGCCGATGCTGAGCACCAGGGGCTGGGACTCTGATTCCAGCAGCTCCCCCAGCAGATGGCCACCATGGGATATTCAGATATTGGAAACGTGATAAAAACCCACATTAAAGATATTTCTGTTTACTTCCTGGCAATGCACTTGGTAGCTGGAGAGGCAGATGTAACAGGAACTGGAAAGGTGATCCCAGTTGTGGCAGGAGCAGAAAGAACCCAAGCTTCCTGGATCCATCACTGGGCGCTCCCTTCCCAGCCAGTGTTACTTAAAGTCAACCTCCAACACCCCCTGTGTGGAACAAGTGCTCACACTCGAACAGGACTCACCCTTATCAGCAGTGTCGCTCAAACAGACTGGGAGGTGTTGCCTCCTCTGATCCCCCAGCTCAGAGAGTGGGTGACATACACAGTACTCTCTCCCTGGGAAATACAGGGAGACACCGCTCCAGAACATGCGATGTCCACACCTCGTTACATCTCCAGTGATGCTTTACTGCCCCTTGGAGATGCCATGAGTAACTGACTGTATGGCAGGCCCACCTAGCACTAACCTCAGAGCACCCTGCAACCAAGCACAGAAGTACAGATCAGTCTGGACTCTGAGAAATCAAGCAAGGCATAGGAGCTGATGTGTCTCCAATTCAGATGCCCCCAAGGAACAGGCAGGGAAGAGGAAAGTGTGGCAGCAGACCCTGGGGAGAGATGGAGCTTTAGGAACTGCAAAGTGTGCTCTGCCTAAAGCATTCCTGTTAAAAACATTTCTAAATTGCGTATGGGGCCTTTAGATCCCTTAGTCAGAGGGATTAACAGAGCACCAGCAGAAACATTAGAACATTATCTGGCTTCCACACAGATTTCCTGCTTTGATCGCGGAGTGGGGTGAGCCTGAAGCTAAGGTGGACACCCCCCCCTCACATAGTGGTCCCTGGGAGGGCCTTCCGGCTACAGAGGGGTTTTGGTAATGTCTCTCCTTCTAAGGTGTTGATGCCTGATTGCAGAGTGTTGTGTTGGTCTCTTCAGGGTATTTGCATTTAAAAAAAGACATCTTAAGAGAAAAGTCTAAACTTGAGTGGCTCTCTTGGGGGAATTCTAGCCCTCGGGGAACATCTGGCTTGAAATTGTTTGAGGGAGGGGCTTTTCCTGCCTCTGAAGTAATCCTCTGGGTGGGCAATGTGAAGGCTGGACAGGGCACTTCTCTGTGGCCCTTGGAGGGTCCCCCCGGGGCTGTGGTGTCTCTGTGTGGTTGAGGACAGAGAGCGGCTGGAGAATGTGAAGTCAGAGCACGCAGTTTTCATCCAGAACTGTGGTCCCCTCTTTCATCGCTTCTTGAAGTAATTTACACTGACCATCCCCAAAATCCACTGAATTAATTTTGCTCTGAGATCTGTGAGTAGAAGAAACTCCAGGCACCCAGGCGTTTGCTGATTTTAGGGGGCTCTCTGTCCCTGGGATGACAGAGAGGGCTGAGTCCAACGGGCCTCAGCAGAGCATTGCATATCCTGTCTTAGTGTGACAAGCAGAAGACATTTGGATCATCTAATCATCAAAATAGTAGCACACAGCAGCAAGAACTGTAGTCATAATTGCCCAGTTAAAGAAGAAGTTGAATCAGTTTTAATACACACTGTATCACGAGGGAGTGAATGAATGATTGGCTACGCGACACATTTCAGTGAATACCTTAGCCGGTCCATGGACAAATGAAAATTAGCATATGTTGAACGCATAGGACTGACTCCTTTAACCAACATGGACGAATTCTATTTTGCCTTTACCTGGAAGATCCTTCTGGATTAAAGGAGCTTATCTTTGAAATCCTTTAAACCTCTGTGCGATCTGTACAAACCGTTCTGATAGATGTAAAAATCCATTCTGATCATAGGCGGTGGTGAACTTACCTTTGACCGGAAATTTGCACGGATGCAGAAGTGAGAGGAGCAGCAAAACCAAGGGACAGTTCAGAGCTGACCTACTGCCTCTGGACGTTCGTTCCACTTCATTCCTAGCAGGTGTTGACCCTGTCTCACCTTTTCCTTTAAAGGAGTGACGCACGCTCGGACCTCCCTGCGTCTCCTGCCCTGACACTGCGAGGTCAGCTGCGCTGGAGGAGTAGCTGTGAGTCAGTGGCGGAGTGGGGGTTCCATTTCTCACTTGTCTGTGCTGTGCTCTCTCAATCCCAGGCCGCGTCCAGATGCTGCCGCAGGCGGTCTGTCTCCTCCACGCGCTGCTCGAGAACGGACACACCGTGTACGTGCACTGCAACGCCGGCGTGGGCCGCTCCACGGCCGCCGTGTGCGGCTGGCTGCAGTACGTGCTGGGCTGGAGGCCCAGGAAGGTGCAGTACTTCCTCGTGGCCAAGCGGCCGGCTGTGTACATTGATGAAGAAGCCTTGGTCCGGGCAGAGGAAGATTTTTATCAGAAATTTGGGAAGGTTCGTCCTTCCATACGCGGTGTGTAGGTGATGGGCCTGGACCCCCTCCCTCCAGGTTTCCTTAGGATGCCTGGGGTGATGACAGTAAATGACCCAGAGACCGAGATTATTCCTCCTGACCCACCTTCTCTAGTCTGGGCTGGCTTTCTGTTACGCTTTGATTGAGCTGTATCTTCTCTGAAATATTTCACAAAGAAAGCTGTGACTGACACACAGAAAAATCCGCAAGCAGGTGGGCTATACAGTTTTTCTAGCATTAGACAGAAGGGAAGGGGTGCAGTTCCACTGCGAGCAGGCGGCCGGGCCCTTGCTGCATGGTTGCTGCTTTTCTGTAAATTCACGGCCGCCCTTGCGTGTTGCATTGAGACGCGGTGCGGGGATGAGGTGTTACGTAGATGTCATCACTGTGTGTGCGTGTGCACCAGCCCGCGTGTGGGCACACGCACGCGCGCACACACACACACAGCCTTTCTGCTGTACTGAACTGAAATCATAAAATAAGAATCAGTTAGTTGGCCAAAGAAGGGAATCAGGTGGGTAAGAGCCCAATACGGCCAAAGGCGATGACTTTCTAGACTTTTTCTTTTGCATCGTGCTTTAGCTGTTCCAAGTGTGTTCCAAGTCTTCACCTTCCTTCTCTTCCCACAACCATGTAGATTTATTATCTGTTTGTTTTAGGCTCAGTGAGCACAGAGAGCTTGCCCAAGGCCTCAGGGCTGGTCAGGGATGAGCTGGAGTTTATAACCGAGGTTTATTTGACTCAGTGCATTTTCAATACAGCTAGTGGCTTTGCCAGCATACTGAAGTGAGTTCAGTTTCTCTCAGAATAAGGTCGATTTTTCTGCAGTAGTTTCTGCGGTGAGAAATGGAACAGTGTTCCGATCAGTTGCCATAGAATTCAGGAAAGTAGTTATCCTAAATTAAACCAGAGTAGGCCGTCTCAAGGCCAGGGCGGCCTGAGCCATACATAGCTCACAAGAGGAGCTGTATTCCCCAAAGGGCCCAAAGGGCCAAAATCCACAGATAATTGTTCCATGACTTAAGAGTTACTTTAAAGAAAAGAAGGAGCAGAAAAATAAAATACAGTCGTTGTGCTTCCAGACTATGCGATTTGCTACCCTAAGTTCCATAGGAAACGCAAAGTTTAGTAAGACTCTGCCTCCCAAAAGCTCAGAGCCTAGAAACAGCGCTGTGTTCCGTCAGGTGCACTGCAGTACTGACCTCGTAACGACGGGCTAGAATGGGGAAGGGGAGTAACTTTTACTGGGTGCCTCTTACGTGCTGGGAGCTTTACGATCTTATTTAATTTAATCTTCACGGTACCCTGTGAAGGTAGGTTTTATTATCGCCACTATATAGAAGAGGAAACGAAGGAAGTCTCAGAGAGGTTAAATCAGCTGTCCAGTATTACACGGTGAGGAAATAGATGAAATGAGATACAGAGCTAGGTCTGTCTGACACGAAGCCCATACTTTTTCTATTAAGCTACAGCGCTTGTTTATTTTTCTGCCCCTTCTTATCTTCCATAAATATTCACTGATAGCTGTGAGAGACTCTGATTCAGGAATTGTGGGGGTAAGAAGGGTGCAAGGTGAGTCCAGGGGAGTTCAGAGGAGGGGGAGGCATCGTGTAACTGTGGGACTCAGGGGAGATGGATGTTTAATTTGGACTGAGAGGGTTGGACGGGGCACATGTATCCTACAATTTTACAAAGCTAAATTTATAAGCCAGGATTAAATAATGTGAAGTCCAGCTCTCTTGCTAAAAATAACTAGAAATAACTGTTGTATCCAAGTAACCCATTAACAGTCATAATGTGTCATGTAAAATTTAATCATAAAAATGGAATATTTCTAACTAATTATATAACTCTGTGTGTGTGTGTGTGTGTGTGACAGAGAGAGAGAGAAAATTTCTTTAATGTCTAAGAATACATAATTTCCATTATAGAAAGCCTTTTTTGGGTGGATTTTTTCCTTTTTTGCTTTGATAGGCAAAATCAGTTTAGGGCTATTAAAGAATGTTTTGGAACAACCTCTTGTCCTCAGTGAATGGGATGTCCAATTTATTTCAAAATCCCTGGAATTTTTGCTAAGTAAAAGTATTAAAAATGACCTCTGTGTACAGACTTTTTTTTTAATGTTATTTATTTAGTTTGAAACCCAGAAGAACAAACCGTATTTCCTTATTTGTAAAAGAGGCAGTCATCTGAGCTAAATTGTTTTTCCTTATCACTCTTACTTTCTCATTAGCTGATGGAAATTGGCAGTTACAGGACAAAGGGAAGTCAAAACTGAGGGGACCACAAAGAAGCTCAAGGGTGTGTCAGAGAAAATCGAAGCAGATATTGTGTCATTAGCTGCTTGTCACTGGTGTTAACAAACTTTTGTCACAGATTTCTCAAAGAAAATCATAAGATCTCACTCATGGAAAAGAAACGTCCAAACAAGGTTACTTTCTTTTAGACTTGAAACATTGTTCTTCAAAATTTTTGTGTGCCAGTGTGAGGAAAAATCTAAAAAAAGAAATACACTCTTTTGATCACTATTAAGGTTTGAGTGAAAACTGCTTGGCTTGGCCTAAGAAATAATGATGAAAAAATGTAGTTAGGACTTTGAAAACTACAAGGAAGTAATGAATGGAAAGATTTGAGAACAAGCTAGCCAGGAACTGAGAACTTGCCACACATGAAAGAAACACTGAATAGCTAAACATAAAGTCCGTTTGATCAAAAGTCAAAATTGAAAGTATCTTTGGAGATAATCTAGTTTAATTCCTTCATTTTACAGAAGAGTAAACTAGACTCGGAGCCCTCAAATGACTCTTCCTGCAGCAAAGAGTATTAATTGAGGACCGGCGGAAAGAAATGAGCTGGGAAGACAGGTCAGGAGATTTACTGCGGTGTTGAGTCGTAGGAGAGTTCCTGGGAGCGAGAGCAGACAGTGTTGTTAGCGGGAAAGAATAGGTGGGAGGATTAATGGAAACTGAAGTAAGTGGAAGAAAAATGGCTAAAATGAGAAAAAGCGAAGCCCAGCGAAATTTCCAAAAGAAGAAGAAGCAGGTGTTTCCTTTCTACTGGGGGTACTGAGAAGGATGGTGTGAATGTAGAAAAAGAGGAGTGGAGTCAAGGTAGTGTTCTCAGGAGAGGGTGCTGCACTAAGTATCCATTTGCTTCTCTCTGGGACTAGATTATGGTAGGAAAGAGGACCAGCTAGATGTAATGTGAGGACCAAACAGGAGCGTGGGATGCGCCGTGGCTTCTTACCTGCTGGGAAAAAGAGAAAGTCTGATAGGAGACGGGATTAAGAATCAAGAGGGAAGGACTGATGAAGCTACCTCTTGTGACCACAATAATACCGGCGGTAGTAATAATGGAAGAGGAAGAACAGCCGTAACAACTCTGTTCTTTCCTTCCACAAACCATTAGTCCAAAAGTCTTTCCCAATTCGGTTAATGGAAACGTGCTTCCAATTTCTCAGGTTCACACCTCAGAGTCATTCTTAACGCCATCCTTTCTTTCAGACACCACAATCAATCCATCAGGAAGACCTGTCACCTCTCCTGTCAAAATATCTGCAGCCTGACTGTGTTTTACCTCCTCCACTGAACAGCTCTAGGTAGAGCCACATTCTCTCTAGACTGGATGTCAGAAACAGCCTCCTACCTGGTCTCCCTGTGTCCTGCCTTCCTTTCCCCATCCCCTACCTCTGCCCCTACCACTATCAAATCCATTCTCAAACAGTGGCCAGGGTGATCCTATGAAAATGTACGTCAAATCATGTCACTCCCATGCTCAAAATCTACAGTGACTCAGCAAGTCGCTCAGAATAAAAGCCAAAGCCATCCGGGGACCTACACAACCTGGTCCCATTATGTCTCTGATCTCCCCTCCTCCTGCTTGCACCTCACTCTGCTCTAGCCATGCTGGCCTCCGTGCTCTTTGTTCCATGCTGGCTCCGACTTCAGGGCACTTGCACTTGCTCATCTCTCTGCCTGGAATGGCCTTTCTCCAGGTGTGCACTTGGCTCACTCCCGTCCCTCCTCCAGTGGTGCCTCTCTGCACCACGCTATTAAAATTGCCACCCCCAATCCCAAACCTCCTCTCTCTCCTCATTCTCTGCTTCACTTCTCTTCATGGAACTTACCACTGGCCAGTATGTTGCATAATTTGCTTATCTGTTTTATTGTCTGCATCCTCTCACTGCAGATGTAAGCATCATAAAGGCCAACATTTACATCTGCTTTGTCTGGTCATGTACTTACAGTGCCTGTAGTGGAATCTGGCAGGTGGTTCAACGAGCGAAGGCCAAGAACAGCTAGTGACTTCGGAGAGCGTACGTGGTCCATGTACTTTTCCTCTAAGCGCTTCACCCGAATCAGAGCTTTTAATCTTCCCAGCAAATCCTATGAGGTAAATATTGTCATCATCCTACTCTACAGATAAGTAAGCTAGAGGCACAGAGAGCTGTGAACTTATTCCAAGGCAAGTAGGACAGATTCTCTCCTGGTCTGGTGGCGTAAGTGCCCAATGAACCACCGTGTATGAGTTCTGGGCACCACATGCATTGGTTTGTTGGGGCCTCTGAAAAATGCACTACAAACTAAGTAGCTTCAACAACAGAAATCCATTGTTTTACGGTTCCAGAGGCCAAAAGTCCAAGACAATGTATCTGAGGGTTAGTTTCTTCTGAGACTCCGAGGGAGAATCTGTTCCACACCTCCCAGCCAGTTTCTGTGACTTGCTGGCAATCTCCGGTTTTCCTTGGTTTGCAGACTCATCACCCCAACCCCTGCCTGTGGTTTTCTGTGTGTGTGTGTGTGTGTGTGTGTGTGTGTGGCTGTGTCCAAAGTTACCATTTTTATAAGGATACCAGTTACACTGGATTAGTGGTCCACCCTACTCCAGTATGACCTCATCTTACCTAATTACATCTGCAAACACCTTATTTCTGAATAAGGTCATATTCTCAGGTACTGGAGGTCAGGACTTCAATTTATGAATTTTTGGTGGGGATGCAATTCAAACTATAACATTACAGAAAGCAACTTCCTGAAGACAATGGCGAATGAAAAACAAGGCAGATTGGAGAAGAGTGGAAGTTTAGAGGAAGGGTTCAGAATGGACTAAGTTTCCCATTTTTATAGGTGTAGCCTGATGCCAGGCCACACTCACAACGATGCTGAGACAGTTAAAACACTTGACAGAAAACCCTCTCCTCTTTGGTTCAGGAACCCAGAATTGAGTAAAAATCAAGTATTTCCGTGGTAATAGAGATTAGTTCAGGAAAAAATATGTGACTTAACAAGGGCCCCAGAGATACATGAAGAATTCTGGGGGCTTCTGGGTAGTTTCCTCACTCTTAAGAAAGAACTACAGGAAAAGATGCTCTTTCTTCCTTTGGTGGCTGTTTTGTGTGGATATGTGAGTCAGGCTAGTGGAACCATCTTCCTACCAGCCAGAGAATAAAGCCAACACCAAAGGAAAGAGAAAAGAGAAGTGCTGAAGCTGGAACTGCTAGATAAGTTAACCCTGCCGTCTGCCCAACTTCCTGACTCAGTTGTGTAGGATTACATACTTGTTTGTGTTTAACCTGTCAGAGTTGGTTTCTGATTGCTTGCAGCTGAGGGCATTGTATTTGGTTCATAACCAACACATAAGTTCTACTTTTATGATAGCATTTTAATTTTTATTATAACTTGTGGCATGAAAATGTATTCTGATTTCTGGTATCATTTGGATAGCTTATATTTTATATTTTGCTTCTGCTGGGTTTCAGAGGACAGTTCTTATAAGAAAGATGGAAGTTCTTAAATGATGATCTGCAAATGAAAATTTTGTGACAGAGAGAAGTGTTCTGTAGTAGATTTATTAGACTTAGAATACTTTTATATTTGTGATTTCCGGTTATTGTCTTTGAGTACTGAGTGCTTCTTACCTAGCTAACTGAGAACCAACCTAAGATGAAAGACATTAAAACCTTGCCATTTTTCTTGGCAATAAACAAATACGCTCCATAGGGTTACACCTTCAGGTACTCTCCAAGCCTTATGTGAGCCAGGTAATCTTCATACCTAACCAGGTAGCTGGTGAAAATGAAATGGACTGGGCAGATTTGAAGTTTATGACTTCTTTTCCCTTTAGTTAGAAATTATACTGAGTATACAGTTTTTTTTTTCAAAGAAAAGAAACAAAAGGATAGCATGTAAAGGAAGAGGCAGTAAAAATAATGGGCTTTCACAAATGGAATCACTAACCCCTGAATATATGAGTTGGGTTTTCACATTTTAAAAGTAGAATTCTCAAGTAGAAATTTAAATGGGAGAAACTTTAAAATATGGTCCATATGACAATGTTCAGTGTTTCTAGTTGTATGCCTATACTATAAACTTGGGCTAAATTTTTATCTAATAAAACTTATATTTAAAGCTCCAACACAAAGCACATTCAAAACTTCCTTTGGTTGAATAGCTGTTTTTTTCTCATGTAAGATCATTCAGAACTTGGTAAAAATGTATTTGTGTATCTCATATCCGTAATCTTCTACTGAGCAGCTCTTTCATCATCTTCTAAAGAGATCCCTTTAGTCTTTCTTGTTTGTGTATCTTTGATTTCTTAGCATTAGCTTAGTGTCAACATAAAATACGGGATTAGGATAGATTGTAGTAGACATGGAATAAGCAGTTAAGCTCAGGACTCCTGTAGCTAGAGGACATTATAGAGTATCTAAGAATCTGTCTGATGGGGGAAGCTTCAGCCTCACATACAATTTGTCCAAAGGACAGAAACCCAAGAACTTAGTCCAGAGACAGCTGAAAGAGTAGTCGGAGGCAGACAGAAGATGTGGGGCCATTGAAATAACAGACAGGATGAAGTCCTGAATTATAATTGTATCAGGAATTGTAGCAGTATTACTAAAGGAAATACTACTTAGCATTCAGTGAATAAGATTGTTGCCATTTAAAACCTGAACTATAAGCAGTTAGTATTAAATGATCTGGCATAGCATCAGAGTGGTGTGGATTGCAAAAAAGAAATTCAGGAGGAATTGGACAGTGAAAGAATAAAGAGCTGGACCTAACACAGAACAACAGACAATTGTCATTGTCACCCATATCGAGGCTCTCATCAGTTCCTGGTGAGAGAAAACTCAGAACTCACTGAATGAAATTTAGTTTACTGTGTATCATTGTTTAAGAAAATGGAATGTATTTTTCATTCAATAGAGATCCTTATTGTTGCTTTCTTAACGTTAAATGAGAAATCCAAAGATAGATTCATGGTCCAGACAATTCCAGCGAAGATTCTGTACCCATTGTGAACAAACAAGATAAGCATCCTGCATTTCTTACAGGCTGGTGTTCAGACAAAGCTGCTGTCGGCCCCACACCTCACATGTCTCAGGGACTTACGCCATTTCTGTTTATTGTGATTACTGATATATTTGGACTTGTTTCTCTTATTTAGTTTTTAGATAAAAAATTTTCTGCTTTTTTTGTCTTATTTTCTCCTTTCTTGCTTTGACTTTTGACTTATTTCCTTCCCCTTAAGGGAAAGAACATTAACATTGACCTATAGTCACCGGTCTTTATACCCCTTCCTGATGACATTACTACAGTTATAATTATGAATTGTTTTAGATATACTTTCTTTTTTCCTTTTTGTATTTCTAACTTTTTTTAATTGTTAGGGAGGGCAAAGAAAACGTTGGTGAGGACATACTCTTCCTTGCCAGACTGACAATTACTACCCCATCTCATTTTTGCTTTCTCACCTCTCCCAACTTCTATTATAATTAAGAACTTCAAACCCAGTGACTCTCAAGGTTCCAGTGAGCACATTGTTCATTGTCCATCTCCCTGAAGTACTGCATCTCCTCATTAGATCTTCTGAGCCACAGTCTCTTTCCTCTGGTTCATCCATCAACCCACTTCCAGAAACATTCTTTCATGCTGAAATACCTTATCTGCTGGTAATCCTTCTTACTTTTCTATTCATTGTTGCAGGTGGATTTCTAGCCTAAATTTTTATGTTGTAAATTCCGTTCAGATGTCAGGAGGAATCGCATGTTTGCCATTTTAAATCAGAATTTTCTCAATCATCATAGATACCAATGACACCCAAATCTCAATCTCAATTTTAAAGCCCCTTCTTGAGTGCCAGACCCATATATCAAAATTTTTTTCCTGAACAGTTTAATTTGGACATCTCTCAGGTTATCTTTCAAATTCCACAGGCCACAAACTGAAGTTTTCTTTCTTTTGCCAAACTTCTCATATTTTCTCCTTTGGACAAACCTTTCCTCAGTTGCTCAGATCAGAAACCTGAATGTCATTTTTGCCATTTTTCTCCCATTCACCATCCCTCTGATCACTCAACAAGTTCTTTCAATTATGCCTCCTAAATATCTCTTAAGTAGGTCCACTCCCCACTATTGGAGGGACATAAATTGTTAAAACATTCAGACTTATCCTCCTCATGTTATTCTTAGCCCTTTCCAGACCATTCTTTATGCTGCTACCAGAGAAACCTTTCTAAAATTCAAATATGACACAATCTCTTCCTTGCTCAACATTTTCCAATAGCTCCTCATTGTTCTAGGGAAAAAGATTAACGGTTCTTATTGCAACATATAAGACCCTTTGTGATCTAGACCAGGCCTTTCTCTCCAGTCTCCTGTCATTCCTATAAGTGTCTGCCAAGAGTACACTCCAGTCACAGTGAATTACTTAAATGGTCTATGACCTTTTTTACCCTCTGGTTTTGGCACATGCTCTTTCCCCTACCTGGAATCATCTATGTCTGGCCTGTATTAACTCATCCTTTGTTCTCCAAGGTCACCTTCTCTGAGATGTCTTCGGGAGTCCTCAAGGTTGTTCCTCCTAGACATTTTCATAGGACCCACAGCTGCTGCTCTTTAAGCACTTAACGCACTGCACTATAAAATCTTTAGGCAGGAGTTTAAATAGCATTCAGCAACGTAGGCTTTTGCACATTCTCAGATGGCACTAGAGCCAAGTCCTTGGACTCCTGTGCTCAGATCTAATGTATATTTTAATCTAAGAGAAATACGAAGAAAAAATTTCAGGGGAAGTTTTTTTCTTTTCATGTAAGTTAATGATTGGGATAATTTATTTAATAAAAGTACTATCAGAGGTTTCCTTTGGTGGTTTTTTGTTTTAAACATTTTAGTAACAACTTCTATATATGCCACTAGTATTTAATGATATTGTCATAACAAGTATCGTATGTCTACATCAGAAAACAATGATCCTATAAAAATTTTATGTTGCACTTTCCACCTGATCTCTTGCTGAAAATTGCATTTATATTCAGTCCCTTTTTGGTTTGCCATCATAGGCTAATGCTGATGACCTTCGAAAAAGAACACCTTATGAAATACACCCTATGTGTACTGGAATTATTGATTGTATTACACTGTACAATAGTCTCACAGTGAGTGATCTCATGGAAGAAATCTCCTTCTGGCCAAGAAATTAAGCACAGTTATTGTTTTCTTGAGCAATAAAAAATACGTTGTGCAACTGTGAAGCTTACAGATAATTATGTTTCCCTCGTCTCAGTAACAGTTAGGATTATGTAGTACAGATTCCTTGAACTAACTTTACTCCATGGTCTGCCTTGTATTTCTACCCATTTTTACCCCATTGCCTCATCTTTCTTACTTATTTGACATTTCATTGTCATTTTGCTATATTGTTTGCCCCATGATAAGTGTCATATTTAGTTCCTTTTGGAGAAAGAGAGGTATACATAAATACACAAATAAAATAGTTGCCACGTTGAAGTGCTTGCACAATAAAGAATGGATTTGAATACTATTTGTGTAAATGTCAAAAAGAGGTGAAATGTCATATATGTTTCAGGGTAAAATTCTATCTTTTGCAAATGAAGATACTCTAAAAATAGTATCGTCCTGTATTCTTCACTTCAAGGGTACGAATGTCAGAGGATTGTCTCAAACCCCCGGAATGTCTTCATGCCTGTGTGTTGATCTGATTGATAGATGTGTTCTTATGCTTAAGCAAGGATGAGCTGAATTCAGGCAATCATCGTAAATTTCTAGGACATCTAAAACCTTACAGACGGAGGCATGTATTTTTTTCCTCTTTTTCCGACTAATCCTACAGTTCGCCGAGTCTCCATAATTTCTTTGATATTCAGTGGAGTAAATAATTAGATGTGAACACCTGTTCTTCCTCCATATATTCTGTGGAGCATAAAGCAGCTGCAGGCCTCAGAAAGTCATAGATAAAACTCATAGCTAAAAACTTAGGGAAATCTAGTGACCTGTTACATTTCACATGTCTGAGTAGTGGACTTGTGTCTCCCAGAGAAAACGGCAGACTTGCTAGCATTGTTAGGACACTGGCAGTATTCCCTAAGTTAACACCAAGTTTTAACTTTTTTCCTATTTATAGCACATTGTTTTCTCCAAGGGTAATCAAAATGTGTTCACTTATTACTGAAAAACTTTCAAATTTCTGTACACAGAAGTTTTTTGAGTATTTTAAATATATTAAGCTGATGATTTGAAAGTGGAGGTGACACCCTTTGGACGATAATGAATTATTACATATGTAAACTAGTTTAAATAAAGGAGCCTTGTATATAACCACTGGTAATCAGTAATTGGAGCTGTGTAAAGAAAACTTGTTTTATTATTAAGTTATTTAAATAGTTATGAATATGCATGAGGAGTAACAACTGATATAAAACAAGTCTCTTTTGCAAAG